CTTTTTTTTTTCTTCACTATAGTTCACAAGCTTAGAAGTCACTTTCCCCGAAGTTACAGAAAACTTTGTATCTTTTAATAAACTCAAAGTAAACATTGTTTCCTTTAGGGATATAAATTCCAAGAAAACTTTCTCTTTTAGCTGGGGGAAGTGACAGGTGAATTCCTGAGCTATAGTGAAGAAAACAAAAGGGAGAATTACATTTAAAAACCAGCACCATAATAAATAAAAAACAGCGTGGGGTCCCCCCTCCCATCCACACCAAGCCCTTCGGGGGTCCCCCCTCCCATCCACACCAAGCCCTTCGGGTCTGGTATGGATATTAAGGGGTAACTCCACGCTGAAATTAAATAAAAAACAGCTTGGGGATCCCCCCAAAATCCATACCAGACCCTTATCCGAGCATGCAGCCCGGCAGGTCAGGAAAGGGGGGGGACGAGCGAGCACCCCCCCTCCTGAACCATACCAGGCCACATGCCCTCAACATGGGGGGTGCTTTGGGGCAGGGGGGGCTCCCCCCCAAAGCACCTTGTCCCCATGTTAATGGGGACAAGGGCCTCTTCCGTTAGTGGGATAATTGGTTGGCCATTTTTCAGGATTTTAGCATATTTTGTTTATCCGTAAAGTTGGAAATTTTTTTTTTTCCAAATTTACTGATAAAAAAAATGTGCCAAAATCCCAAAAAAACGGCTGACCAATTAACCCACTAACGGCCCGAAAATCGTTCGATTTTTTTTTTTTTTGGCAGAAAAATCGGTCGATTTTAGACCCATCTATGGCCTGCTTTAGATGGGTCTAAAATCGGCCGAAAAAAAAAATCGGCTGATTTTCGGGCCGTTAGTGGGTTAATTGGTCAGCCATTTTTTGGGATTTTGCCACTTTTTTTAATGGGTAAATTTGGATAAAAAATCGGCCGATTTTGCAGATCGGCCGATTTTTTAGCGGCAATGATCAGCAAATTGGCTGATCTTTTTACAGATAAAAAATCTGCGCATGAGCCATGACCTGCAAGAAAAAGAAGTAAGAAAATGAAAAAGAAGAATAAAAAAAAAGAATAAGAAAAAGAAGAGAGAGAAAAATGCAGGCCATAGATGGGGCGAAAACTGACCGTTTTTTTAAAAAAAAAAAAAAACACGAAAAAAATCGGTTGTTCAATGGGCCGACGTTACCACCAACGGTAAAAAAAATTTGTCCGATTTTCGCCCCATCTACGGCCAACAAATATAATAGTGAAGTAATTACTTCTGTCCCTGCAGAGAGCTGCGCTATTATATTTGACATTAAAAAGTATAAAGGTTGCAACATTGTATCTATATGTATCCGAATAAAAACAATTATATCCGGATGGATACAAATAGATACAATGTTGCAGTCTCTATACTTTTTAATGTCAAATATAATAGCGCAGCTCTCTGCAGGGACAGAAGGAATGTTTCAGCTGTCATCGGGGTTTCCCACTGACAGCTGAATTTTAAATTATTTCCGTGAATTAAATAAATAAGAAAAAAAAAAACAGCGTGGGGTCCCCCCTCCCATCCATACCAAGCCCTTCGGGGGTCCCCCCTCCCATCCATACCAAGCCCTTCGGGTCTGGTATGGATGTTAAGGGGTAACTCCACGCCGAAAATTAAAAAAAAAAAAAACAGCGTGGAGTACCCCCCAATATCCATACCAGACCCTTATCCGAGCATGCAGCCCGGCAGGTCAGGAAAGGGGGGGGGGGGGACAGTTCTTAAATAGGTTAGGGGTGGGGCCAGCCAGGGACATCATCCCCGCCCCTTACCTATTTAAGAACTGTCACCCTGTCTCTCCACTGAGGCTAACTAACTGAATGCAGGAGACAGTCTGACAGTTCTTATATAAGTATGGGGTGGGGCCAGCCGGGAACAGCAAGCATGTGACATGGGGCGGGTCACTTGGATGATGTCTTTGCTTCAAAAAGTAGACGCTCGCAGTTAAAAAGTAATGCGCCTAGGCTCAATAGTAAATTCGGGCCCCTGTGTCTCTTAGGGGCACAGGGTGACTAATGGACGCTGAGATTGCGGTTGGAATGACTTCAGATGGGACAGTAATATTTATCAGCCATATGAAGACTATTCCTGGTTGTTGATTCTGAACTAGACATGTGAATTTAAAGAGCTGATCATGCCGGCCTCTCCTCTACTCCAGTGTTGGAGCCGGACCGTCTGCTCTGTAGTGAGATCCTAATTCATCCAACCATTGTCTAGGTGTGAAATCCCATTCACCTTTTGTTTAGTTCACCCAGCTAGCTAACCTAATGACCTCAGTGTTTAGAGTGTGAAGCCTATTTGTGTATATAGCTGCATTTGCATATGATCATGTGATCAGTCTGTGTGTATTGTATAAAAAAACCGTATGAGTTTAAAATCAAGAGTTCAGACAGACTGGTGTCCTCTAGTCTTGTATGGTTGGCTGTGGTGTCTGTGGTCGGTGGGACAGGGAAGCGGTATTGTAACGAAAGTACTCAAGCGCAGTCTGGGTCGGTTCTGTTACATTGGTGGCAGCGGTGGGATGCTTTCTGCAGTCTGGGACATCCAAACCTCCACCTGGATCCAAGGTTCGGATAACAGGAGAGGAGAGAGATACCACCTGCAGCTATGGAAACGGATGTCTTATGGCGGATGCAGCAAGTGCTGGCTTACCTAGATGATCCTGTTTCTACACAGGACAAGCTTGGATGGAGGAATGCGTCTGTCCAACAGCTGGATGAGGGTATGGAAGATGGAGAAGTCGGCTCATCCCTGCAATTACAGATCCCAGAATGGATGGATCTAATGGATTTTCACTGGAGGATGTTATGGGTGATGAGTCACCTGCCAAAGTGCTGGCACTGGGCCCAAGGGCCACCAGCCCGTGCCCTGGACATTTAGCCATTCCAGAGACTGGGGATTTGATAGACTTCTCTGCTGAGGGAAAACAACCTGGTGAAACTCCAGCAGAAGAGCCGGCAACAGGGCCAAACATTGCTGAGCTCTACCCAGTACCAACAGCAGCTTCAGTCCCCCTGAGAGAAGAGGTGGACGACCTTTCTCCTACACCACTGACAAGGACATGGGATTTCCTGCCAGCAGCATCTTTGGAGGTAAACAAAACTTCTCCAGCTGAAGCGCTGACAACCGGACAGAGGGTCCAGGACCTCTGCCCCACAACTGCGGTAGTTTCAGAGGCCCAGGGGGAGTAGGGAGAGGAGGTTGTTGTCCTCCCTCCCCCACAGTCAGCCAGAGTGGAGGAAACTGGAAACGGTCTTCCCTCTCAAGCCAGGATCTGTGCACCAGGGGGACAGTGACAGAGGAATGTCATCCCAACAGCAGATCCACAGTCTGGGAGTGGAAAAAGCCGGCCTCCCTCCGACACGGTTAGCCGGAGCAGATGTGGGGTCCCCAGCAGAAGTGATGGCAACAGGACAGAGCACTGCTGGCCTCTGCCTAGCAACTACAGTGTCTCCACAGCATCAGTGGTGGGCATCATGATTGATGTTGGATCTACACTACTTCGGGGACATTTTTTTTTTTTAATAACAGATTTCCCAAAGACTGTCTCCTGCCTTTTTTACTCTACACTTTTTTTTGTGAATGGGTAGCAGTACCATGTACCCCATGCTCATTCACATGGGAGGGTCAGGATCTGGGGGCCCCCTCTTTAAAGGGAGGCTTCCAGATCCTGATAAGCCCCCCACCCGCAGACCCCCACAACCACAGGCCACAATTGTGGGGAAGAGACCCTTGTCCCCATCAACATAGGGACAAGGTGCTTTGGAGGGGGGGGAGCCCCCCCCATGTTGAGGGCATGTGGCCTGGTATGGTTCAGGAGGGGGGGGGTGCTCGCTCATGCCCCCCTTTCCTGACCTGCCGGGCTGCATGCTTGGATAAGGGTCTGGTATGGATTTTGGAGGGGACCCCCACGTCTTTTTTTTTTTTTTTCAATGTTGGCGTGGGGGTTCCCCTCAAAATCCATTCCAGGCCTGAAGGGCTTGGTATGGATGGAGGGGGGGACCCCACACTGTTTAAAAAAAAAAACATTTTTAATTGTCGGGCAATAGCGACAATTCTTTTTCCATTCAGCTGTTATCAGGGAACAGCACAAACATAAATTAATGTCTCACTACTAAAGTACCGCGTGACTTCATCATAGAACTCCTGCCGGATTGTAGTCACTGAGCGGGATCTCACCAAATACTCAGATGTAGGAAGATACCGCTCAGTATATTGTTCGGTTCGTGTTCGAAGTTCGTGGCCAAACATTATGTAGGTTCGGATGTTCGACCGTGAACTGAACGGGGGTGTTCAGCCCATCACGAGTTAGGATGACCGGTCTCTCCCTGATAGCTTATGTATTCCACTGCTGTAGCATTGTCTTACTGCATTAGGATAGGGTGTCTGTCTATCTAGGGGTTCAGTGCTGCAATGAGATCCAAATTGCCCAAAGTTCCAGGATGTTTATCAGTAGAAGGTATTCTTCCAAAGACTATAACAATTGAGTATTGACGTGATACTTTTTTATATTTGCACTAACATACAATTTTGAGGACAAGCTTTTGGGGTATGTCCCCTTCTTCAAGGTCCAGGCATTACTACTATAAAGTTTTAGCAGAATGTTAGAAGAGATATGGGGGATGAAAAAAAAAAAACACAGAAAGAAACACACAGAGATGTGCAGTACACATAAATTGTTAAAAGACTAGGATTTGACTAGAGATAAGACACAGCAAAAAACAAAGATTGGGGGGGGGGGGGGGGGAACAACACTCAAAGAGGGAGTCATAAAACTGTTGGATAATGAGTGAGCAATCCCATGTCCAAATTCAGGCCGTTATCTCTTGTGTCAAGTAGAATTATCATTCTTAGTTCAAAAGTTTTTCTTTCCTGAATGGATTTGAAATTTCCTTTAAGAACTAAAACATTGAGGTCTTCCATATGTGTGGTCCGGTTGTTGAAATGGTGTCCTACAGGTGTGCAGAGGTCACCTTCTTTATGTTCCTTGATGGTATGTCTGTGCAGATTCATCCTTGTTTACAACTTCTGTCCTGTTTCACCAACATAAGATCCTTTGTTACATTTTCTGCACTGGATAAGGTACACACATGACTGGAGGTGCAGCTGTATGATCTGGAGATATTGAAGATCCCTTTTGAGTGTCTGACACTTTTTGATGGATTGATTTGGTTGCAGCTTGTGTGTTTCTTATTGCAGGGTTTGCTTCCATTATTTGTGACCTCATAATCGGAAGGAAGTTTCCTACTGATTAGTTTATTTCTGAGGTTGGGGGGTTGTCTGAAGGCCACCATTGGGGGTTGTCTGAAGGCCAGTATTGAGGGGTTGTCTGAAGGCCAGTATTGGGGGGTTGTCTGAAGGCCAGTATTGGGGGGTTGTCTGAAGGCCAGTATTGGGGGGTTGTCTGAAGGCCAGTATTGAGGGGGTTGTCTGAAGGCCAGTATTGGGGGGTTATCTGAAGGCCAGTATTGGGGGGTTGTCTGAAGGCCAGTATTGGGGGGGGGGTTGTCTGAAGGCCTGTATTGGTGGTTGCTGGAATATTTATTTCAGAGTTCCATCCTCTGTTATGATGAGTTGTAAATCTTTGATTATTTTTCTACTTCCTTCTAGTGCCGGGTTGTATGTGGTTACTAGAGGTACACGGTTGGTTGGTTGTTTTTTTTTCTCTTTGTACTGAAGTAGATTTTCCCTTCAGGTTCTCAAGGCTGTGTTTATGCTGTTGTTGATAGTTTTGTCCTTGTAACCCTTCTTATGGAAGGCGTCTGCTAGTGTCCCGAGATGTGTATCTCTGTTTTGGGTCAGAACATATTTGGTGGGACAGGGGCGGAGCCTGACAATGGCGGCAGCGGGGAGTTCGTGGTAGGAGCTCTTGCACGAGGCTCCTCTGTCCGACCCCCCCCCCCCCCTGGCCCCAAACCCCCCTAGATGCATGGAGCTCCAGAAGGCTGAGACTTACTCGGCCTGGTGGGCTCCCTCAGATGAGCGATGGCCCGCGGGAGGAGAGAGCCTGGGAGCAGCGGTGAGAGGCTGGAACAGTGAGCCTGGTTGCTGGGAGACAAGGAGGTGCGGCCAGGACACGTGACCTGCCGCAGTGCATCCCTGGGAGGCGATGAAGCCGGCCGGCCAGCGGCTGACAGGGAGCAGGAGAAACATTGATCTGCTGAACGTCCAACTATCCCGGACCCCTGTCGTGGTGTTGGCAGGGAAGAAAAGCCTGGTCCAAGGCAGGAGAGAGTGGAAGAAAGTCCTGGAGGGTCCCCCTGAGAGGAGGTGGAGAGGAGCTGACCTGCTGAAAGAAACTGGAGGAGGGAGCCTGGATCCGTCTCACGAGAAGAAATATGCAAGGAGGGTGAGTGAGTCTGGCTGTGGCTTCACACATAAAATCTGAATTGAGTTGGTGGGGAAACAGAGAGTGAGAGAAAAGGGGGGACCCCCAGAGAAGAGAATATAAATAAAGAGAAGAACGTATGTAGGAAAGAAAAGTGAATGGACAGGGCTGGGACTTGCAAATCATATAAACGGCTTCTTCTTAACACAAATCTCTAGAGAGAAAGAAAAGATATAGAAGAAATGAAAAATAAAAGTGCAAAAGGAACCGGGCCAAAAGGGACCCAAACGGGTACAATTAAAAAGTACACATCCCAGGGAAACGTGACCCCGGAAAGGCCCCAGAGCAGAAATGACAAAGGAAAATTAGATCTAAGTATGCAAAATAGCCATAAACAATTAATGGACTTGGATATCAGTAGTCAACAAATATCAGAGACAGAAAAAGAGCTCCAAATCCCAAATAAAAAAGAGATGACAGAAATGTTCAAGATCTGGAGAGAACAATAAAGCAAGAAATGGTAAATATTCAGAATGACCTGCGGCAGTTGTTGCTAAGAGTGGAAGAAACGGAGCAGAAAGTTAAAAATCAGACCCAGATTATTTCCGAATTAGAGAAGAAGATAATTAATATGGAAAAAGCTCAGGAAAAATTGCAGTACAAGGCGGAAATCCAAGAGAATAGAGAAAGAAGGAGAAACATAAGGATAAGAGGGATACCGGAAAGTTTAAAAGGAGAAATATTGGAAGAGGAGGTTTACAAAATTCTGAACTTTATAATGGGAAACTCTGATATGGAAAGGACTAATATAGAAGGAATCTCTAGAATCAGGAAACTCCAGGGGAACTATGAGAAGGAAAGGTCGAGAGACATGCTTGTTAAAAATTTTATGAACTGCAGCAAAGGGAAAGAATCTGGAGGAAAAACTAAGGGAAAAAAAAAGTAATAAAATATGGAGAAATGGATATCCAAATATATGCGGACTTGTCATCGGAGACTCTCCGGAGGAGGAGAGCTCTGAGGCCTTTGCTGGAGCTGATGAAAAAAAACAGAAGGTGCAATATAGATGGGGAAAGAGTACCGGAGTGCTTAATAATGGATGGAAAAACGGAATAACAGCCCATTTGAGGTTCCCAGAGGACTTGAGAAACTTTTGCGATAGATTTGAAATGCAAAGAATTGAAATTAATGGTTGGGAAGAAGAATCTGGGGGAAATAGACTAAAAAGAGGGAAGAGGAGTGGAGACGGGTGGAGGGGGGGAGGTAGGGTGGGGAGGGAGAGGAGAAGTGAGAGAAGAAGTTTTTTTTTTTTTTTTTTTCCTCTCTCTTTCTGAACCTCCTTGCTCCCAATCCAGCGCCTTTTCCTCCCCCTTTACTCCAGCTTAAATTTCTTTCTTTCTTTAGAAGTATAAGTAGAAAGAGGGTCAATGGGGGGATTCGGAGGGAGGGGAGGCTGTCCATGGGAGGAGCGTAGCCCTAAGGATTAAGTCAAAGGTGGATGTTATCTCCACAAATGATGTTGAGGCAAAACGAAAAAAAAGAGGGGGGGAGGAGGGGAGGGGAGAGGTGGTGAGGGTGGGGGTGGGAGGGGAGGGAGAGGAAAGGGATTGAGGGGAGTACTGAGAGAGGGGGGGAGGGATAAGGGGAGAGAAAAAGTGTAGTGGGATAAAAACGCTCAATAGGAATAAGAAAGAGGAAGGGAAGGAGGAAGAAGGAGTTAGCAGGAAAAGAGTAAGATGGAAGAAATCCAATATATAACCTACAATGTAAAAGGGTTAAGCTGTCCAGGAAAGAGATTTAGGCTATTTAAAGAACTTCAACATAGAAAATCCTCAGTAGTATTTTTGCAGGAAACACACTTAGAGATAGATTCAAAGGTTAGATTGAGGACTAGATATTTTCCAACATGGTTTTATGCGGACTCACCAACTAAAAGAGCAAAGGGAGTTGCTATAGGCTTTGCAAAGAACGTAAGGTTTGAGGTGGAGGAGAGATTAAACGGATCTGGAGGGAAGGTTTTTATTTTTGGAGAGGTAAATTACAGGGAATTGAGTGTACAATAGCAAAACATATACAGTCCAAATAGGAAGCCGGAGAGGTTTTATGAGAGAAGTGTTGAAGAGATTGATGGATTTTAAAAAGGGATGTATGATAGTAGCGGGGGACTTTAACATCTGTATGGACCCATGATGGATACTACTTCCTGTGTGAGGAGGGAGGAAAGCAAGTCCTTGAGAATGTTAAAGAAACTGTTGCATGAGTGTCAATTAGTGGACATCTGGAGAATCAGGAACATGAAGGAGAGAGATTATACTTTCTTTTCGCATGTACATGAGACTTATTCTAGACTAGATTACATATTAGTAGAACATCGATTGATAGAGTTGGTGGTAGAAGTAAAAAGGAGGAGAAAGCACCCTGTCGGATCATGCCCCAGTTGCAATGAAGTTAAGATGGGGAAGAGAGGAGAGAGAAGGATATGTGTGGCGGTTGAATGAGGCACTTCTCATGGATGAAGAGATTGGTCAAAGAATAGAGAGGGAAATTGAATGGTTTTTTGATGAGAATGAAACAGAGGATGTGTCGGTTGCAATGGTGTGGGAAAGCACATAAAGCTTACATTAGAGTTTTACTCATTGCAATGGGGGCAAAAAAGAAAAAAGAAAGGAGAGAAAAGATAAATAGATTATTAAATGAAATATATGATCACGAACAGGTGCATAAAAGGGAAAGATCTAAGGAGATAATGCAGCTGATAATAAAGAAGAAAGAAGAATGAGAGAATGTAATGGAGGAGGAAAAAAGAAGAGTCTTTAATAAAATAACATGTGAAAGGTATAGATGGGGAGATAGGCCGGGAAAGTATTTAATGAGAACTTTAAGAAAGAAGAAAAATAGAAATTATATTGAGAAAATAAGAAATCCCAAGGGGGAATTTGTACACTCAACCAAGGATATTGCTAGAATATTTAAAGAGTATTATAATGAGCTGTATAATATCATACCTCAGGATACGTTTAAGAAAATGGAAATAGTAAATAGGGAGAAAAGAAAGATATACCTAGAGGACGCAGGCCTACCGAAATGAAGAGAAACACAACTGAACTCTTTAGAGGCAGAAATAACTTCAGAGGAAATAAAAAATAGCGTTAAAAAGCATGGCGGGAGGGAAAAGTCTGGGTCCGGATGGTTATACAGCTAAATACTATAAAAAATATAATGAGCTTTTAATACCCAAAATGAAGATTTATATGAATGGGATGGAGATAAAAATGGAGAAAGGGGAGAAATCTTTACAGGCTAATATAGTATTGATACAGAAGGAAGATAAAGACCCCTCGCAATGTGCAAGTTATCGACCGATAGCACTGCTGAATGTTGACACTAAAATATATGCAAAGGTTTTGGCAAATAGACTGAAAAAGCTGATGCCGGAGTGGATACATAGAGACCAGGTGGGGTTTGTCTCAGGAAGAGAGGGCAGAGATAATGCTTTGAGATCATTGTTGCTTATACAGGAGGGTAAAAAAGGGAAAAACCAACGATACTGATGTCGATAGATGCTGAGAAGGCATTCGACAGAGTAAGTTGGGGTTTTATGATGGTTACTCTGGAAGCGTTAGGAATAGGAGATAGAATGAGAGGGTGGATAAGGAGAGTTGTATACAGAGGACCTACCGCTACCATAATGGTAAATGGAGGAAGATCGGAGTATTTTAAGATGTCAAATGGCACAAGACAGGGATGCCATTGTCTCCATTGTTATATGTGATATCACTGGAGCCCTTACTGTCCACGATTAGGAAGAACATAGATATAAAAAGGAATAAAGATAGGAGATGGAGAACATAAGGTAGTGGCATATGCGGACGATTTGATGTTTTATGTTGGAAACCCCAGAACAGCACTTCCAAATTTAATGAAAGCATTGAGGGAGTACGGAGACCTGTCGAATCTGAAAATTAACCCGACAAAGACTGAAATCTTAAACATAAACCTCAAAAAAAAAGCGAAAAAGAAAAAATTACAAGAGGAATTCCCCTTCCTTTGGAGAGATAAAGAACTAAAATATCTAGGAATAAAACTATCAGCCTCAATTAAGAACCTATATAAAGCTAATTAAAATAACATTAAGAAAAAAGATTAAGGAGGAGCTGAGGAGAGTGGGAAATGGAAATCCATTGTGGATAGGTCGTATAAAAAATAAAGATGGTAATTGTCTCCAAAGTATTATACAGATTTCAAATGATCCCAATCAAACTCCCAGAGGCATACTTTAAAGAACTTAGGAAAATGATAATAAAATGTATATGGAGGAATAAAAAACCTAGAATAGGTTATGAAAACGTTGACTAGAAGAAAAGAAAGAGGAGGACTGGGGGGGTGGTACCAGACTTTAGGAGATATTACAAAGCGAGGAATCTTCGACTGGATTCATAATCCAGAGAAAAAAGCTGGGTTAAAATAGAGACAGCACTGAGTGGAATAAGTTTAAGTAAAAGTATTTGGGTACCCGCACAATATAGGAAACTAGAGGAGAGCACAAGCACGTACACTCTTACTGTTTTAAAAGAATGGGATTTACTACACAGACAAAAGGGGTGGGTTTATAATTCACAATTAATACCACTTAGGAACACAAAATATTTCATCCCGGGCATGGACAGTATAGCAGGGAAATGGATTATAAAACAGGAGGCGCAATTGAGAGATATAATGGTAGGAGAGGAAATGGGGTCATATAAGGACATGGAGGAAAAAAAGGGTGAAGTCTTTAATAAGATGGATAGACTAAGATATTACCAACTGTAGTACTTTTTTGAAAGCCTTCCAAAGCCTATAAGAACTAGAAAAGATTGGAATCCATTTGAGAGAATATTTGAGTCACGGGGAAATGGTAGACACGGATTGGCAAAAAATACACAAGATATTAATGGAACTTGACACACACACAAAATTAACGCACATAGAGAAATGGGAAAGAGATATGGGGAGAAAAATAGAGGAGGAGGAGCAGAGGAAAATGTTCACATTAATTCACGAAAATATTAGTATGAGGGAAGTAGAAATAAAATTTTAAGTGTTTGAAATAGATGGCATATTACCCCCAACGTGGAGCACAAGATGAACATGGAAATATCACAGATGTGTTGGAGAGGTTGTAGAGAGGAGGGCACGTGGTATCATGTCTGGCGGGTAGTGTCCAGAAATACAGGTGTTCTGGCGGAGGATAGTTTATTTGATAGGGAAAATCACTAAAATTAATATAGGATTAGATCCAGAATTATGTCTCCTCCATATCTCAGAACTCAGTGAAAACTTAGAGTTCGGGGATATGGCATTACTTGACCGCAGCAAAGAGTCTGATCCCCAGGTTCTGGAAGAAAAGAGAGGTGCCAACTGAGGAGGAATGGATGGTTAGAGTAAATCAGATTTCTGGGACAGAAAGATTGTATTATACGCACGAGGACAAGTTGGAGTTGTATAAAAAAAAATGGAAAGGCTGGGAAGAATATAGAGAAAAGGTGTGAAATATATGAAGAGATAATATTCCTGGAAGTCGGCTTAGAATTGGGTTTTAGGAACAACAGAATAATATGTAGTTAACGAGAGTAAAGAGAATGTGGAGCGTGGGAGGGAGTGGAGGAGATAGGGGGGGGGGGAGGGGGGGGGGGGGGGGAGTAGGGGGGGAGGGGGGGAGGGTAAGAAAATAAAGTTATATACAGGGATAATTTATGTAAGAAGAGAAAACGTTTGTGATAATTATTTTAATAGAAATGTTGAAATGTTTTGTATATGAATTGGAAAATTAATAAATATTTATAAAAAAAAAAAAAAAAGAACATATTTGGTGGTATCTAATGGCCTAACTGTGTATGATGGCACATTTCGTGTGTTGGGGGTGGAATATAGAACTGTGAAGGTAGTTGCATCTGTCAGTGGGTTTCCTGTATATTTGAGGTGTGAAGCGTACAAACAACCGTGTACCTCTAGTAACCACATACAACTAGAAGGAATACGAAAAAATAATCAAAGATTTACAACCATCATAAACAGAGGATGGAACTCTGAAAGAAATATTCCAGCAACCACCAATACTGGCCTTCAGAAAAAACCCCAATACTGGCCTTCAGACAACCCCCATTACTGGCCTTCAGACAACCCCCCAATACTGGCCTTCAGACAACCCCCCAATACTGGCCTTCAGACAACCCCCCAACCTCAGCAATAAACTAATCAGTAGAAAACTTCCTAATAATGGAAGCAAACCCTGCAATAAAAAACGCAGCAAACTGCAACCAAATCAATCCATCAAAAAGCGTCAGACACTCAAAAGGGATCTTCAATATCTCCGGATCACACAGCTGCACCTCCAGTCATGTGTGTACCTCATCCAGTGCAGAAAATGCAGCAAAGGATCTTATGTTGGTGAAACAGGACAGAAGTTGCAAACAAGGATGAATTTGCACAGACATACCATCAAGGAACATAAAGAAGATGACTTCTGAACACCTGGGGGACACCATTTCACACAACCAGGCCACACAATGGGAGACCTCAATGTTTTAGTTCTTAAAGGAAATTTCAAATCCATTCGGGAAAGAAAAACTTTTGAACTAAGAATGATAATTCTACTTGACACAAGAGATAAGGGCCTGAATTTGGACCTGGGATTCCTCAATCATTATCCAACAGTTTTATGACTCCCTCTTTGAGTGTTCACCCCAACCCCCCCCCCCCCCCCCCCCCCCCAGTCTTTGCTTTTGCTGTGTCTTATCTCTAGTCTAATCCTAGTCTTTTAACCATTTATGTGTACATCTCTGTGTCTCTTTCTGTTTTTTTTTTTCTTTCATCCCCCACATCTCTTCTAACATTCTGCTAAAACTTTGTGAGTAGTACTACCTGGACCTGAAGAAGGGGACATTCCCCGAAAGCTTGTCCTCAAAATTGTATGTTATAGCAAATAAAAAAAGTATCACAGACAGTACTCAATTGTTTCTGTCGCAAATGCACTAATACGGCTACAATCACCTCATCCAAAGACTATAAAAACCCAGGACTGTAATGTAAAAGTAAAGAGTTAAATGACTCCTGGACCGAAGAGCCCAAGTTTAGGAGCAAAGAGTCTGAAGTTGCTACTAAGAGAAATACTCTGAATTAAGCTGTTTCCAGAACTAGACCCAGCTGGTGCCTAATCCATCTGGAGCTCTCAGCTCAGTCAAGACCAATTATCTTTATGAAAAAGCGCTGTCATTCAGCTCTGCCTCTCACTTGACTTTTGAAAAGTAATGGTGCCTTCGGGGGAAATGGTGACACACAGACACTGGAAGACTACCGTTTGCATGTGATTCCCTGTAATTCAGCAAAGTTCATCAAATATTACTACTGTACTATTCTGATTCTTGTATTGTGCATCTGCAACATATTTCTGTGCACTGTGTATTTCCTTGTTTCAAACTTTAATAAAAAAGTCATTGACATTAAAAAAAAGGAAAAAAAAAAAAACAAGAATTCCCAAGGAATGAATTTTGAATAGGAAGTTACACATTGTATGAAAATTTTTTTGAACAAGTCTGCACTTTCCCTTCTCTTTCCCCTCTCCCCCTTCCCCTCTATTTTTTCATAAGCCTATAGTTTATTTGCCAGTGCACAATCTTTTAGTTTGCTGTAAAACTCAAAAGAAAAGCCTTCAGATGTCCTTCAACAGACAAGACAAAAGCTGAGTCTTTCAAATGAGGTGTTCCCATTATTTGTACCCAACCCCTTATTAAGTGTTCCTGTTATCTCACATATTTATTCTTATTATTATAGCCAAATTTACCACCCTAACTCCTCCCACATTTACCACCCTAACTCCTCCCATATTTACCACCCTAACTCCTCCCCACAGTGCTTGCACTACATAGACAGTAATATAAACGGAAACGTGCGGATTGGTGGGCTGTTACTTTGTGGAACGTTTTGCCGAATGGTTCACAAAATATTGGCGTTTTTGTGGTAAAATTGGTCCCATAGGAATGAATGGTGGAATGTTCAAGACTAGAGTGGGAGCTGAAAAATCAGGACGTGATTTCTATACTGCCATCACTCCCTCATTTTCAAGCCCACCTACACAAATCTTATATCACAAACGTTCAGCTATCCCTGCTGCCACCAAAAATGTCCACAGCTAAGCCATAGTCCTGATAGTTTTCACAATATGACCATTTGTTTGCAACTCACACCGCCCATTGACATTCATTGAAACTCCACTCTAGCCACCTCTGATTTGAAGGGCAATTTCTAAACTGCGACTGTGCCTTCATTTTTAATATTTCAGAGACATACTATGCATCAAAATGTAGGTCTGGGTTTTGTGATTCTCACAATATAAAGCTCTTCACTGTAGGATTTCAAACTACGACCGTTTGAAGACGCCAGTGAAGTGAGCAATTTGGAGCAGTTTGTTTTTAACCGCTCTTCTCTGCCCTATTGGAAATCTAATGTTGAATTGGTGACAGTTTGGCCGCCTTCTGGTGAAAGGTTTGGAAATATGTTTTCTACAGCAGAGAGTATCTGAGGTGATAACGCTGCTAATGTTTTTATAAATGTATGTTTTCATATAACTGTGAAGCACTTTGGGCAACAACATTGCAATTCAATGTGCTATATAAATAATTCAAGTTGAAATGCATTTCTCACTCTATCAAGCTTGCCACGTGCACTTTTTACATTTGATCAATCAATTGGTTAGTATAATGTTTACTATCTTTACTCCAAACACTCCACACAGTTACTCTGCCCTCCACTCCAAACATTTTCACAGTTACTCCAGCCACTCCAACCACACAACAGTTACTCCAGCCACTCCAACAGTTACCACACAACAGTTACTCCAGCCAGCCACACACAACAGTTACCACCACTCCACAGTTACTCCAGCCGCCCACACTCCAACCACAACCACACAATTACTCCGCCCACTCCAACCACACAACAGTTACTCCAGTTACTCCACCCAGTTACTCCGCCCACTCCAGTTGTAGACTACTGGTGGAGGCAAGAACACTTCACACAATTTCCCCAGAAATTGTAGCTTTTCTAGTTCTTTTATATAATTGCCTAACAAAATGTGGAATGTCTCTTTCCTTTTTACTGTCCCATTCCCTTTTTTCCCACCCCTCTTCCCTCTTCCCTCTCTCTCTCTCCTTCCCAGGTTTCCCTGGGCTGGCCTATCGTCTTTTTTTTTTTCTACCAGTTTGCAATCTTCTTGTACGTGGCAGCATAATCCAAGGTTGAAAGACTTCCCTTGTCCCTTATTAGGTGAGAAAGAAAAGCCAGGTCATTCATCTGAGATATTCTCATTGTTTGTAATGGTTTCTTATTTTTTTATGGCATTACCTAACAGAATGTGAAACAAAACAATAAACTGGAGAAGATCAAAGTCACTAACTGTACAGTCTGTATGCACTTTTCTCTTTGTCGCAGAGCCTGATGTCCATCGTGAAGCCGCAAGTTCAAGATGTTACAAATTTCATTTTCCATCACATTGAAAGAGATCTGGAATATCTGAAGAACAGTCTTGGGAAAAGCACAGATGACACCACAACTGTTGTACATCTTGTACTTAATAAAATGATGACTCTTCAGCAGTCTGGGCAGCGTAAGTATAACTTAAAGCAGTGTTCCACTCACTCAGTAAAAAAATAAAAGTCAGCAGCTACAAAAACTGTACAAAAACTGTATAAATACAATAAAGAATGTAGCGCTACTCCTTAAAGTACATACACACATAAATAAATAATAAATTAATAGGTGATGTGTGATCTCAAAATTGCATCAAATTAAAAAATAAATAAATGTGATAGTGATATCAATTATTATTAATTTGTGCCCATGATTCATTAAATCTACAAAAATCAAATAACTCAAAACATGTGAAAAAAAATATATATACATATATATACATATATATATATATAATACTGTGAATATAAAACCCATACACGTACCTCTCGTGTAGTGAAAAAACCACAATATAGCAATACATAAAACAGTGCTCTCAAAGTCCAATAAATGCTAATAGTGACCAAAGAAAACATGTGCTTCCAATGACTACTATTGGTGACCATAAACTAACAAGAACTCGTGTGGATCTTTGGGTGCATGTGAATCTGACTATCCGACCACCACCACGTGTGGTTTAATGTCCTGGTGTGTTTTGTATATATAGTTGAAACACTTGGGAGCGCAGGAGGTTCACACCACTACTGTACAAAAACTGTAGCTGCTGACTTTTAAAAACAGCCACTTACCTGTGCCATGATCCCATGTTGCCCCCGCCGCAGCCCGTTTCACTGGCCATCCTGTATTCCAGGAGGCCGGCATCTTCAGTGTGGGCACCCGGCTGTGACAGCTGGGTGCCCACTGCGCATGCGCGAGTAGCATTGCGCTTCCTGAATGGCCCCGTCTTCTGGCACCTGTCACGGGTCCCACAAGACTTTGGGGAGGGAGGGAGGGTAGGAAGACAGCTTTGTTTTACGATCACCTAGGCAATCGCAGCAAATTCAAATTTAGGTACCCATTCCCCCCGCTCCCCAAAGGTGCCAATCCTTAATGGGGAGCGGGGGACCAATCTTTAAAGTGGAACTTCCCATTTTGAGTGTAACTCCACTTTAATAGTAAGTGTATAACTGTTGTTAGCAGTGCAGCCAGTCTGAGCATTATTGGTAATAACTAGACCGTAAAGTTGGCCATACACTGATTTTTTTTTTCATTCAGCCTGCAGGTTTCTCCATCCACACTATACAGTATCTGAATATGGGTGGATATCATGCTGTGCCTACTGTATTTTGACAGTTATAATCACCAGCTGTCAAAATTTCCAAACAGAAACTACATATGATTAAATGCAGCTGCTTTTTGGGCAACAAATTCCCACCTGGCTACTTCAGTTTTTCAGTGATGCCATGGTTACTGACTGGGCCACCCACCAAGCAAATTGCATCCTGGTCCTCAGGAACCATCCCAAATTTGTACAGTGTATGACCCACTTTAGGGTACAATCTTTTTCCCAGTTTTGAACAGAGTAGGGGGTGGTTAATACATCTATCAGGTTTGCATTGCCATTTGAGTCTCTGTTCTGGAGGTTTACCAGTATAAGGTCATGGTTCCCCCTGGCAGGCAGTACAAGAATAGAGGGGTCTTTCCTAGACACACCAGCAGACAGGAAACCAGTTCTAAGAAGGGGCATGTGTACAGGGGTCACTGTTGCGACCTGGCCCCATGCTCCAGCATGCCTGTGATGCCCCCTGTAAACCTGGATAGGAGGTGTAGGGACATATCGAGGAACCAATCCCCTCCATTTTATTGTGATTGGTTCCTCTAAGATAGATATGTAAAAAAGGAATAAAGCGAGCGCTAAGTTGTAAAAGCAGCTAATACACTGATGTAAAAAACCAAA